CGTTCTGTTTTCACAGCAATTATGATATGCTAAATAGTATTAAAAGTAAGCATTATATGTAGTTTGCAGTTTATGCAGATATTCTTCATAGCCTTAATTAGTGCGGACCTTGAAATCTCGATAGTCATTACGATTGTATGAAGTGAATGTATTGTATATCCCTCAGTCCTGTTTCTCATATCAAGATTTATGAAGTCGTTGTGCCCGAAAATATGCTACTTAATTGAACGAATTGAAATAAAAATACTCTACTAACCAAGCTTTTACAGTTTTCCAGACTTTTCTTGTTTGCTCAGTTCAAGTGCTAATGCTAATTCTTCCTCTTCCTGTTGCTTGCGCTTTCGTCTTTCTTCCTCGGTCTTCAGGCTTTGCTGGGCTGCAAAAATAACCTGTTCTTCCTCAGTCAACGCTAGCGGTCTATTATTGCCGTTCCAAACTTTCTCAAGGTACGCTTTTATTTTTTTATCATTTAAACTAGTTTTTGACCTGTTATGTGCTGAATCTTGTCCTTGTTTCCTGGATTTATCGTTTTTTGTCGAAAATGCTTCATCTATGTCGATCGTCTTTGTCTTGGTGTTAAAAAAAGCATCTGTTTCAATAGTCTTAATATTTCTATTATCATCGGAGAAAGCTTTCACGAAATCGGCATCGAATTTAGCATTGTCCTTTTCGATTTTACTCTTACTAAGCGGGAAAGTGTTCGAGAAATCAGTGTCAAAACCTTTTGTGAAAGAATTTTTATGAGGAAGTACAGAAGACGTTCCACAACTGAATGGATCCATCTTGCCTGTTTCGTTACTCTTGTTCGCATTGAAGTCCTCGGCATCGTCGGCGAAGGGATCTACTATGTTAAATGGATCTTCGTATCGGTAATCTCTGAAGGGGTCCTCTGTGAAGTCCGGCAGCTTTGGAGTTACCATCGGGTGTGCTCTGCTCGTTGGTCTGGGTGGTGCCATTCGATTCAGTGTTGGTTCCGGCTGAAGCAGGGTTTTTTCACTGGTCAATTTTCGTTTACTGAAAAGGTACAAAGAATGGCGCGAAAATCGCTGGTTATCGTCAGGCTGCTGGACCATATGTAACTGCTGACGAAATGCTATAAGGTATTCATATTTATAAATACTTCAGAATGTTTGAGTTAATTTACACAAAGCTCATCATAATTAATGCCAAAGCCTATTAAAGAACTGAAATAATTTCAATATTTGATCAATACTGATCTTATGTGATAAAAATGGCCGATCACGCGGTCGAGTTCAGATGTCTATGTAGGATGGCCGCAAACAAAACAGCAGTGAATAACAGCACAGTACTCTGTTATTGTTTGCTGATCAACTTTTATCGTAAAGTATTTCATAAAAGTCACATCAAATACTCCACCTTCTTTCCGTTCTTTTAACTTGCTTCATGAACATTAAAACTGTGAAGTCAAAATATGCTTGTAATTTTTTTCACTATCTACACAACAATTTAAATAATTATATAAACTATAAAACAATTAACCTGACAAAATTAATAGTTTCATTAGTAAGTACTTATTCTTCATTAAATGAATAGTAAGATGAGTTTTGTGTTATAGAATTTAATGAATACTCTTCACTATTACTTGTGTATGATCAAATTTAAAATGATTTTTAAACATTACTACCAATGTAGTAATTTAATTGTTATAACTCGAACATTTTTGTGTATGCGTGAAAAATTAAACCATACAAAATTGCCATGCGTTATCGAAAATAAAATTACAATACTGGAATAAAGAGAAAAAATTAATTTGTAGACAGCATGCTCCAGAAGCCAGGTCAATGAATAAACTGAAAATTGTGCAGCTTCTACCTAAATTTAAAACAAAAAATACAATTAATCTTTATCATATAAACATATTTTACAAAATAACATTCTAATATATTGGAATGACATATGATACTAATTAAAATTTTTCATACATTGACATAATTTCACATATCAATTGAATATGATTTAAATCATACCAATATATACATTTCTTTTTTTTTGTATGTTAGAACTAGCTGTATTTAGAACATATGTACTATACTAATTATATATAACATACTAGAAACTGATGAAAGTGAGGAAAAATGGAATAGGGCTAGGATGATGTGTAGGAACACTTAAAAATAAGGAAAGAAATCATTTATAGACTAATAAACGATCACATGCCATATAAATAATAATTCTACTTACTAATAGAAAATGGAAGCATATATTATTTAAGTTTTATGTGTTATTCAAAAATTGAAAAGCACATACCTTAGAATCAAAATTAGCAAAGTCAGCAAATCCGGTAGATGTAGTGAACCCACTGTTATTATTATCCATAATACCTTGTTGAGAAGAGAAGGGATCGGAATTAGCATTTGCAAACGGATCTGGGGTAGGAGAAGGAGTTGGTGGTGCTGGTGCTGCTCTTAAGGGACCAGTAGGTCCTTGAGCAGGTCGTGGCGGTGCTGGGCGTGGTGGTGGCTGTTTTGCTTTTTTAGGTGGAAGAGCAGGACTAGGACTTTCGGGGCGAGGTGGAGCATGAAGATTTGCAAATGGATCATCTCCAAAAGGATCTTTCGTTGCCTATAAAAAAAAGTCAATGGATAAATAAATATACATTACCTTTAATAACATTTAACTATTAACATTCCAAAAATGCATAAACTTACTGCCATTGCAGCTGTAGGTTTGGCATCAGTTCTTTTTCCATTTCCAAATGGATCAAAAGGATCTTGTTTTGCATTATTATTATCAAATGCACTAAATGGGTCAGATGTGAAACCACCCTGAAGTTACAAATAAAATTATATCATTGAATTAAAGCGACTTGGAATTATTTAAATTAAAAACATACAGATGTAGGTTGCGATGGAAATGCATTTCCAAAGGGATCTGGTGTTGATGCATTAAATGCTTCTTGAGCTTTACTTGATGTGAAAGGATCCTGGTCAAATCCACCTAATGTTGCTGTTCCGTTCACGTTAGAGAAAGAATCTACTCTTTTTTCTTTCGTTTCATCTGCATTACTTGTGGTTGTTTCATACCTACATTGCATGTTAATTAGGAAATCATAAATGTACATTCTCTCTGAACGCTCGCAGGAAAAAGAATTTATGAATATACTCACTCTAGATCTTCAATTTCAGGATTAAATTGCAGACTAGTATCAGGTACAAGAGTGGCATCTCCTGCCGCAAGTGCAGAATCGTAAAGTGCTATCGCATCGCTCATTTGACGTTGCTGTTCTTGCAAATGAGTGATTTTTGCCTTTGCTTGACAAATTTGTAATTGAGTTTCTTGCAAATTTTTTGTCAATTCATTTAATTGGTCCCTGCTTTTATTTTGTTGTTGTTCCAACTGTTGTTCCTCTTGGCGCAACCCTTCCAATTCTTGCCGTTTAGAGTTAAGTTCATCCTCTTGAGCACGCAAAACTGATTCCTGCTCTTCTGCTTGTTGTCGTAGTTTGTCAACCTATTTTTAAAAATTAATGTAACGGCGTTTCTAAATTATTGCGCACAAATGATAGGGTGTGTACAACTGACTAAACTGAGTAAAAGAACCCAAGTGAACGTGGGTCTAAAACTCAAAAATCGTTTCCGAGATAAAAATAGGTTTTGTTTAAAAAAAAATGTTTGCGGACCGAATCAAGACATGACATTTTTCGCGTAAGTCGTTATCAAGGCATCAGCATCCAAAGTTGTCGGTTCGTCGGTAGAGATGGTAGCCAACGGAGAGTCTGATTCACCACTTGCGGTCAGAAGGGCGAGGAGATGCTCGGTTGAGCAACCGTAACGCGTCAGTTTCTACAGATTCTCCGTAATGATTCAACCTTGAAATATGGCGAAGCGAGTGAAACACCTATTATAGGCTCCCATAAGAGTGCATGGGAGAGTAAAAGACGGTAGCGAGTGTGATGACTGCATTCTCAACTATGAGTCCACGGCCCGATCAATAAACGACGTCATTCACATTTTCAAACCGGAAACCCATCGTGTAACAAACAAGGGGACCCTGGATATTGCGTTCTTATACTCTTCGCACTATTCGTTGACTACCATTACTACCAACGAACCAACAACTTTGGATGTTGTTATCTTGATAACAGCTTACACAAAAAATGTTATGTTCATGGTTTGGAAACGTCTGAATGTCAGCTTCAAAAATATGGAATAGAAAATGTGGGGTTCTATTTAGG